TTTTTTTTTTTTTTTTTTTTTTTTTCTTTTTTTTTTTTTTTTTTTTTTTTTTTTTTTTTAATTAATAATTCTTATAGTAGTGAATGCTATTCCTATTGATGGTTTCCAGTTTCGGTGCCTAATTGTTTGTTCGTTCCCGTGCTTCTTTTGATTTTATGATTCTGAATAGTGTCTGCTCAGATTCTCTTCCTTATCCCATCTATGGTTGCCTTTTCTATTTCAAACCTTTTCCTTTGGTTGGACAGGTACTACTATGCCTATGTTTATCTAGGGACTCCACCCAAGAGATTTGCACTGATTGTTGATACCGGGAGCACAGTCCTGTATGTCCCTTGCAGCTCTTGTCTGAAGTGCGGAACACATCAGGTACGCCGCGTTGTTTATAATCGTGCATGTGTGCATGCATGCGTTTCTACATGTGTGTGTGTGCATGTGTTTGCTCATTTTTGTGTGCGTGCGTTTGTGCATGTTTGTGTGTGTGTGTGTGTGTGTGTGTGTGTGTGTCTTGGTGTTTGCATTTGTGCTTTTGTGTGTGTCCGTGCGTGTGTGCGAGCATGTGCACGTTTGTGCATGTCTGTCGGTGTGTGTGTGCATGTGTGCGCTCTTTCCTGGAACTTGCGGTGGATGCTGCTTTCTTTCTTTCCTGGAAGACAAACAACCTCACTCGACACTTGGCTGCATAAAATCACAGCAGCGCTTCTGCAGCAAGCTCGAATGACAATTTTGTTGACACCTTGCTGCCGCTGGACTTCTATACTTCATTGCAGCTCACAATCTTGGAATTTTCCGGGAACTGGTACCTGCCTCTGCCCGCTGTGGTTGGCCTTTGATGCACCGTGTAGTTTCTCTGACTTTCGTGGGACTGTTATGTGCTCGATTGAGTTCACATTCGACGCTGCATCCACATGTCCCCATACACATATGCAATAACAGGAAGACTGAAGAGAGCAGATCCACACCAATCAATAATGAAAAATACACAGCCGAAGCGCACTCCAGAAATAGAATTAACAATTGTTTTCAATTTTTAAAATTTCCTCCTGCTCTCGCCACCTCAGTCGATAAACAACCCCGAGACTCTCAAGCACGTTATTTACACCCCCGAACAATCCTGAACAGCTTTTCCACGAAGATTCAGGGAGATTCTTCTTCCTCGCATTCACACTGGCCCTGGCTATGGCGCCCAAGCAACCCTGTGCCATGTCAGGCCTGCAGGCAGTGCCTGCACCAGTACTCCCACTTCGGCTCCCAATTAGAGGGGTGCCTCATAGGAAGTACAGCTCTGCAACTTGATAGGAGAGGTGGTCTTCAATCCTCGTTGCAACTTGATAGGAGAGGTGGTCTTCAATCCTCGAGAAGAAGCAGATGATGAGCTGCCTAATGTGGCGATGGCAGCTTTCCCCGACCTCAGACAACACCTAGAGGCAAGTTGTCTTCAGTGCCCAAGGCTCAGGCTCAGCGCTATTGCTCCCTTTCAGTACAAGTGGCCCCAGCTATGGCCGCTATCTTCATCCACACCAGCAGGATGACGGGTGCCAGTCCAAAATTAGCACAGCACTGAAAACGTGTGACACGTCCCTCCCCAAAAACCAATGTGAAAAGAACCTGACATACTTCGAGGGTTCCCTGCTTACCTCCCACGGCCTGTCTGCCCCTACACGTAAGACTCCCCAATAGGAATTTAAACCTACCCGAAACGACATCCCCGCAGGCGGACCAAAAAGCAAGAAGTAAAACAGTCCCCGACAAAAAACTGAAGGAACTGAAACTTCAAAAATTGCAAAAGTGTCACTCTTGGGACCAGGCTGAAAACGGGCTTAGGTAAGGGCCCAAAAAGAAGAAAATTACAAAAGTATCCTATTTATTTTACAGCCAGCCGGGTAAACTGCAAAGTCATTGCATTCCTACCCCTCCGGGGAGCGAGGACCCTAAGCTAGGAGCGTCCACGAGGAGACCGTCTAGACAACTGCCCTCTGTGCAGCCTCATGAAACAAGACAACTGATTTTGCAGGCTTGAGAAGTCCCTTCCTGGTAAACCACCGATCCTCTGGGTGAGGTTGGAACAAGGAACTTAAACCGCCAGTACTTGGCCCATGCATGGGCCGCGGGCCTTACCTGTTAACGCGCCGCAACTTTTGCGGGCCGGGGAAGGCCCGGTCGTGCAATGGAGGAGGAGGTTGTTGGGCACGGGAAAGTTGAGAATGGACTGCAATATGGCCTCTTGGATTTCCGTGCATGTGGAAACATGCACGGACACTCTGTGCAGTGCCATAGAAAAGAAAAAGAAAGGAAACCTGTGAGGACGAGAAAAGAAAAACGAAGAGTAACGTTGGCATGCATCCGGACGCAGTTTTGGCCTGAAGCACAGGAGGTGAGCAATGCTTTGTTTTTTTTCTTTTTTTAGCAAGAGAGAGTCCTGGCATTTTCTCAGCTGACTCCCCGTGAGAAACGGGGAGAATCCAACTGCCTGCCAGGAAAGTAGGGTTTGGGGCACTTTCTTCCCGTTTTCGTTTAATTTTCTTGCAAAAAAAAAAGGAAAAAACGAGCATCTCGGCTGTGTCCCATGTGGCACAAGGGAAAACAATATCCCCAGACTGTATCCTCCCACAGTTGCAGCCAGATACTGACAAATCCGAAGGGAGTAGTGTGGCCACCATTTGTTCCCCTCCTTTTTTTTCCTTGCAACTAAAACAATTTTTTTTTATTCTACCCCTTAAGCAGCATTGGCCGCGGGGGGGAGGTCAATGGTCCGCTGCGCGCCGGATTTGGGGTCGAAGTTTTGTGGAGGGCCGGCTCATGACGGCGATCCAGGGCGGGGGAGTGTGCAGTGGGCCGCGCGTACCGAAATGTTCACAGCACGCCATTAAACGAGTGAGCGCGCCTACGGGGCCGGGCGGCGGCGGGCGTAGATGTGAGGGAATATCTTGAAGCCGCTGTCGACGATAAGCGGGCGGCCTTTTTTTCTTTTAGCATTTTCGTTTTTGGCGTGTCGTTTCCCGCTTTTCGTTTTTGCTTTTCTTTTTGTTTCGTGGTCGGCGTGTCGTTCCTTTTTTTTTTCTTCTTATTTTTCTCGCTTTTTATTTTTTCTTTTCTTTTTGTTTCCTGGTGGGTGTGTCGTTTTGTCGTTTCGTTTTTTCTTTTTTTTTGTTTCCCAGTGGGCGTGTCGTTTCCCGGTGGGCATGTCGGTTCCCGCTTTTTGGTTGCGGGCGTAGGCCGCACCGCCCGCACCGCGGGCGCTATGCTAGTACATTTGGAGCACTTTCCCGTTTTTGTTTTCTTTTTTTGCAGAAAAAAGGGGAAAAAAAAGCCAGATTCTCGGCTGCATCCCATGTGACACAAGGGAAACCACTATCCCGAGAATGCATCATCCCTCACTTGCGGCCAGATACTGATGAATCTGAGGGCAGTTGAGTAGCCAACACGATCAAGTGGAGTATCTGTTCCGATCGGTTTCATATCTGATCCGTGGTGCACCGACTCATCGAGAGAGAGAGAGAGGCCCAGTCTACTTAACTACACTGCCCCTCTCCCCAACACGATCAAGTGTAGTATCTGTTCCGATCAGTTTCATATCTGATCCACGGCATCAGGACCCCTTTTAAAGAGGGGGGATAAAAACGTACGCATGCTCGTGCACGCGATAGAGAGAACGAGAGACAAAGAGAGACAAATAGATGCAAGGAAAATGAGCGATAGCGAACTTCAGAAACCAAGCAGCATCATACACGTGTGACCAGATAGTCGAGACCTCGAACCAAAAGCAGAATTGCAACACGAGTTCCACCAAATAAGAACACAGCAAAAGCTCATAAGTGACAATGTTGGAATAGTCTCATCATCATCAACAAAGAACCAATGTCGACGTCCTATCTGGCACTCTGCCCCCAGACTACTCATGGCAGATCCTATCTAGCCTAATCTGCAATGCCGCTGGTGACGTCAACAGCTTCCCCGAAGTACGAGCAGATCTCGGCCAATGCCGTTCGCTTCAAGCACCAGGTATGTCTCTTGTATCACAAACAACCTCGATCCCCCACTCACAGATGCCACGTGCACCCAAGGACCACCATGCGCCCCATCCAGCATACAGCAGCGCAGCTCGGCTATGGCTGCCTGCTCATCCAGCTTGCCCGTGAGTGTGTGAGCGCTGGCCAGCGTCTAGCTCAGCATGCAGCCAGTGCCCGAATGAGGAATGCGTGGACAGGCACTTTATTAAATGGAAATTGCCTGCCTGCTGCGTGAAGCCTGGCTGCGCTGGGCCCTTCTCCAGAAGCTTCCGATAGGCCCAGAGAGGTTGTGCCCCAGTCCAAATGAATCAGGCCTTGGGCCTCCGGTGGTTGCCTGTGTCCAACTGCCCTCGGCCTGTGTTCGGTCCATGTTGTGTATCTGGCCCAGGGCCTGCCTCAATTACATATGGAAAAAGGCAGCCTGGGCCTGGGTGCTCTCAGCCAACTGGCGCTGCACAACTGCCTGAAATTGCCCGGTTGCGTGGTGACCCCAAAAGTAGGCCTGTAGGCCCTGGGTCGAGCCTGCCTTCACTTAGGGCGGCCGACTGTACAGAAAATAGGGCGCAATAGGGCAGATCGAGGCCTTGAGCCTCACATTCCTTCCTCCATACTTCGACAATCCTCTGAGAAGTTCCATTACTCAATCTGGCGCTTTCCTTTCTGCAGTGACAGCTTGTGGAGCGGTCTGCATCAGTTCCTCCCGAGTGAACCATCTGTCCTCCTTAGGATCAGTGTGATGCCTAAACCGAACGCGGTACTGCAGCTTCGGCCTAGGAGGACGTTCCCTGCCTGTTGGTCTTGGAACTGGCATTTCTTTGTGGTCCACGATGTCGTCGATGTCGACCTCTCCATCCATGGTTGGGGGCAGCATTGAGCGTTGTGGGGGAAACTGATCAGTTCCCTCGAATGGTGCAAGCTTAGAGGCGTGAAAGACAGGGTAGGTGCGAAGGTGACCAGGGATCTGAACTACGTATGATGGCCCATCCGGATCATCCCCGACAATATCCAGAACCTCCCAGGGTCCAAAGTACTGTGGCATGAGCTTGCGGGATATCCCGTGCTCTTGTCCCAGTTCTGAGGACTTGACCCAGACTCTGTCCCCTACCTGGAATGTAGATTGGCGGCGGTGCTTGTTCTCAGATTCTATCATCGCCGCCTGCGCCTTGTGCATCTGTTCTACAGCAAGCTGCATCAACTGTTCATATCGATATTCAAATTCCAATGTACCAGGTGCAGCTGTCGGTTGATTCTCAGGTAGTAGAAAGTCTAGAGGCAATCGAGGCTGCAACGTCAGTAGCAAAGTGTTTGGACTTACGCCTGTTGCGCTGTGCACAGCATTGTTGTACAGGCTGGCGATGA